TTGACTTTAACTATCTTTGTTTTTCCTTTTCTATTTTGGATAATTGTTTGAATATGTTCTATTGTTATCCAGTTTGCATTGTGTGTAAACTTTTTACTGCTACATTTTTTCTTTTCAATATTTTGGATCGCTGTTTGACTATCCGTATATATTGTAATGTTTGTTTCTAGTGAAATACTTGATATGAGACTAAGGATAGCGATAAGTTTTGCTCTGGTTGAAGATGGGAAATTTCTTATATTTGCTTTGAACTCCTCTTGTTCATTTGTTTCTATATTCTGTATAGTCCAGCCTATCCCCATTTTGCATTTGTATATACCAATGTCCTCAACTGAGCCGTCGGTATATGCTTCAATGTTGTTCCATTTGCTTATATGATTTGTGATCTTGTTTATCTCTTTTTTGGCTTTTTCCCAAACTTGAGTTATTTTTGGTTTTCTTTTTGCTTTCTACCTTCTTGCTGCTTGGGTTTTGTCTTCACCGTTATTATATTTTTTTGTTTCTTTTGTGTTTGTTGAAGGTTGTGCTGAAGTGTTGATGGGAAGATTTGTATTCTTTCCATGTGTCCAATAATTTTCACATATAATTTTAAACTATGTTTTGTTTTGATTACTGGGACATTGAAGGATGTGTCAAATTTGATCATCCTTGTGCACCCTGTTTCCTTTTTTTCTTTGAACTTGCAACCTGAGGAGCCAAAAACATGATATGAAAAGATAATCTATCAAGTACTAATATATTGTTAGCAAAAAATTATAGTAGAAGGCATGATATGACATATGGAGCCTGGTGCAGTACTGCATGGGGTATTGATCATGTATCAATTATGTATGATTGATGGGCACAAAGCTTGTCAAAGTTTAGCAATTCTGTATAACACGACGATAGATTTAGAGATATGTCACAATCATATAAATCACAATGATATCCAAATGTAAAAAGAGAGAGAGAACAAAATTAATAAAATACTATTTACTGAAAAGCCAAGTGTTTGTACCTGTGCAATGATAATTAATAAACTTACCTTATTTGTTTTTAGTCACCTTAAGAAGAATCCAGGGTCTTGTAGTTCAATAGGGAAAGGATTAGAGGAGGAGACTAGCTGAACATAAGGAAAGATTAGAATAATTATCACCATATGTACCTTTGATATCATCAGCAATATAAACCCACTTACTTAACATTATACGAGTTTTGGTCCGGACTAGCGACAGATTTGTCATTGAGACTAACAATATATTTTTATTATAACAAGATCATATTCTAGTTTTGGTGAAAAAAGGTGATTGAGATGTCTTTGAATTGGCTTATATAAAAAAATTACCTCATATGTTTTATAACAAAAATTTGATTAACAGATTAAATAATTTAAACTAGTAGTAGGACTTCTATTCCTATATAATTCTATCTAATATATGGACTTCTCTTCTTATGTAAAGTTCATATATAGTTAGGTTAAAAAGGTAAATTGGCTATGATTAAACTTATAGTTAGTAGTAATATTAGCATATATAAGATTATTTAGATATATAGATTAGAATATATTAAGATTTAATAAAAACCTGATATTAAATGCTTGTTTACTTTAAAAAAAAATAAAAAAAATAAAAAAAATAAAAAAATTTATTTTATAATTTATACATATAGATTGGCAAATATACTGTATATTTTTTTATTTAATTTTTATAATTTTATTAGTAAAAATCCAAAAATTTTCCTTAGTATCTCATAATTATTATTTATAATTTATTTTATAATAAAATATTTTCAAATGTTAATACAGTAATTAATATGTTTGTAAAAATCTTGTTTTGGTTTTTTTTTGTCAAGAAAAATAAAATTTATTGGTTTTATAGTTGTTTAAAGTCTATAATTTTCTTTATTTGTTATTCAGAATTTTTTTTAATTATTTTTTCAGATTTTTGCATTAAACTATAAATACTATATATATTCTATCAAAAGTAAAAAAGTCAAAAAATTAAAAATCAATGAAAACTTTTTTGTGAATTTGATAACTTTGGTGATAATATTTTAAAAAATATTCTATAAATATAAAAATATAAATTGTTTTAAAAAATTTTTTTATTTGCCAGAAAGAAAAGGATCTGCAATTATTTAACAGATAAAATTTTTACAGATCAATTATGTTTCTTTTGAAAAGGACATAATTATTTATTCATTATTTTAATAAGAACATAATTCAAAAAACACTTTGATTAAATAACCTAAATTACAAAAACCTTTGTAAATAGTTTTTTTTTGATCTTATATTTTTTAATAAAAATTTTTAATAGTAAGATATTTGAATTATGTCCTTGCTTTTAATTTAGGGACCTATTTTTTACTCATCACTAAAAATTTTCTATGACACTTGGACACTTGCTTCCAGCAAATACAGTACGTCTACTAATTTTCCTTTATTTCAGATCCATCTTGTTTTATCTTCTATACCTTTTTTGATGCCTTTATGATGTTTAAGTGCATGAGTATCACAATAATCATAATCAGAAGAAGTAAACTTACCAAAACCATATTATTTGCAAGGATCACGAATAGGGGAATCCCTGTGATATTTGCACTCATTGGGATAATTATACCTCTCATTAAATATTTCACCGGTTCGAAGGATATAAGGACAACGATAAAATCCCATGTCTATGCTAAATTCTTTAATAATATTTACGTGATTCATTTTTTTATGACACACACCAAGGTGACGCATTTTGCTTTTTATGGCACGCATCAAGGTGACGAATTTTTCATATCATTCCTAAAATGAGTGACGAAAATAACATGTGCCCGACAATGTATTCAGTCGCGGTGACGCGAAAAAAATTACATACCCCATTGTACAGTATCATGATACACCATACGCCTTCAGGAACACAACCAAGTAACAAAAGAAAGAATCTTTATGTATTTGTGTCATCTAATACATCGGTAAAGATTCGATTTATCTCCGGTGATCATAAATATAAAAATGAGATTCTGAAGCCTTCCCTCCACCGTACTATTAAAACAATACCCTCCCTAATGCAAGACCAAAAAGTTTCTGAATACAAGGTCAAACAGGCGAAAAATGGTGTAAAATAGTCCGACCCGTTGCTTAACCACGACGTCGATGCCCTGCACAGTTTCCTTCTTTCCCAAGGCAAGCCAACTATGAATATACGAGTGCAAGGTAAGCCAAAAACCAAAAGATCTTTCAGCATTTTTTCAAACAATCAAATCTTGTCCTTTGTTGATATCATATTATTATGACAAAAACATTTCCCTCTCGCAGGCTGGCATAAAGAGAAGGCTTAGGAACTAACTAGAAAGGGTTACAAAGACATCCATTCGACTATTATCGATTTCGATGTTTCCTTTGATCTTACCATGCACATTATCCCTGACGGCCAGATAACGGTTGGCTAAACTTCTCAAGATGTCAAGCAATACCTGGAAAGATACGTCCATCATGAGAATGTGTGCAAAGAAATCAGGGTTAAAAAGGTGAATACTACGTTATTTTTGTTGAAAAGCTTTCTTTGTAATGATCAATTAGGAAGTAACCTGTCTATTCCAACGAAAAGGTTGTTCGATGGGAATACGACCAGCTTGATGGGCTGATCTTAGATCTGGCGCGCCGCCGGCATTTCACCCATAATGTGACCGTCACATATCCGACAACTAATACCAAAGTGAAGGTCATGACTGAACATTCGTTTGGAAAGTTCATGCGTACCTTTGGTGGCAAATTCCTGGCACTCGTTACCGTTATTACCTATCCTATTCTTTGGCTGTACAAAAAGAGATTCAAGAAGTTACGGATCCAGTTCCAAATGGATATCTCGTCTTCAGAATGGTTTGCAAATATCTCGAGTGACCTACAGTAGAACAGTACATCATCACTAATCATCGGAATGGTCGTATCGTTGGCTAAAGTGCCACCATTGTCAAAAGAAAAAAAAAACTTATGTTATTCCGCTAAAATATGCATGTCCACATTTCTTAATAACTGTTATTTTTGCAAGTCAAGATATACTGTATAATATTTTATTACAATATATGCCATTAAATACTGTATTTATGCGATTTACAGTATATATTGTTACGGGGGAAATAGATCGACGATACGCCTTAAAAATTGCGTAATGAAGATCGCTCATCACAGAGGTTGCCTAATCGGGTAATTAACCTCAACCTCGTTACAGTATTTTGTTATTTTTGTTATTTTATTTAGTTTATTTTTTTTTTTTTAATTCTTTTAATTCTTTTATTTCATTTCGATTGATTATTTCTTTTAGTTCTTTTATTTTCTTATGCTGATAAAAAAATATATAAACGATGTAATAGAAGAGAAATGAAAAGAGAGAGAAAAAAAGTATAATACTGTAAAAAAAAAGTGTTCATTGATTAAAATCACCATACTTATCACACTGTTCCTAACCAATAAAATCCTCCCAAATCATCTAAACTCGCCAAATCTATGCCTTCTTTCTGCCTATCACCCCCTGTTAAAGTGTCGTGAAGTCGAGGTTTTGTGCCGTGACTGTTTTTAACCCCGACCCGTGACTCTATTATGAAATATGTCAGCAAATGCCATCGAAAAATGTTATCAAATCGATTTCGCTCATGTTTAAAGACAAGTTATTTCAACATACATTGATGCTAGTAGCAAGACATGTTTACTCACCTCCTCGCATAGAGTATGCCTAATTTTATCACCATGAAAAAAAATCTCATAGTGACACTTTTTTGCTATTTCGTTTATTTCCCTATCAAAATAAAACTTCTAGGAAAAAAAAACCCCCCTTTTCCATGATACCTATATACTTATAGACATATTGTAACGGTGTAACGGCGAGTCTGTTGCTCACTCTAGCAGAGATTCGCGTAACCGTTATCAGGTAAGTAAACGAAAGGGTGATTTGAGGCGTGTTTTATTTGA